CAGGCTCCAGGCAGGCTACACTAGGCACAGAACTGCTTTCTAGATTTAGGTATCAGATCAACACACAATAGGGCAAAGCCTTCACAGAGATAAAGCAGCTTTTTAGCCACCAATTTAATCCCCTAAAATCAATTCTTCCATTCTCCCCAGCCCCAGAAAAGAAACACAAGGCTGGGTTGCATGAATGAATATGCACAGCACCAAAAAAAAAAAAAAAGAAAAAGACCCCAGGAGAAGAAAAAAAAGGATTCTTTAAGTTTAAAAAAATGGAGGGCACTGGCATGCAGACAGAAGGGTGCCTTAGGGGAAAAAATGGCCTAGTTTTTAAACAAGATGGAAAACCAACTGGAAAGGACAAAAAGGTTTAGTCTTTGGGGATCTTGGAAGAAGAAGTGAAATATTCCTTAGGTTATTGTGTGCAGAGCGGATGGGTACTACACCGAACAATGAATTGTGCATTTACGAAACTAAATATTGCTTAAAATTCTTAAACTGCCAACCACAGCTGGCAGTCTTTAAAATACATAATTTGAAAACCACTTTCATTATTGCAGTGAAATTTAACCTGTAAATGTCTGAAAAATTTCAAGAAGAATGAAGAGACCCTCTTAAACTCACAAGAGGAAAGATGGACTTAGACAACAGGGCAGCCTGCAAGAACTCTTCAGGAAGGAACTGCAGCCTGGTTATCTGCCCCACCCCAAAAATTCAGATTCAATACACCCTGGGGTGAACTTCATAGAAGTTCATGGGGAAATATTTCTGAGAAACGCTTTCAAATTCCATCTTCTGAGTTTCAATGGGTTTCTATAGGGCCCTATGTCCCTCAAGTTAAAGTTACCACAAGCTTAAAGCAGGGTTCAAATACAGAGTAACTACAAATTACACTGATTTGTGGAATGGAAAAGACTTCCGTGGAGTGGAGCTGGGCCCTACAATCAGCATGGACGATTCCCTCGGGATTTGGGGTAAACCCGAGCCAAAATCTTCAATAAGCTTACACCAGGCTAGGTCCTGTGTGCCCTGATTACAGTGGTAGAGGAAAAATAATGGGCTCGAAGACAAGAGACAGAGGGCCACCTGATAAGGAAAAGTGCTGCCCACTTCACCCACTTGATGATTATGCTTGATTTCCTCTTTCTTCCATGTTTTTATTGCTGGGTTTTATTTTTATTTCTAATTGTTAGAGCATATTGATTGGTTGTTTGCTTGATGATTGATTGATTGATTGATTGATTGATTGATTGATTGATTGATTGGAGGTTAGAGGAAAACTTGTAAGAGTGTGTTCTTTCTACCCTGTGAGTTCCAGTGATCAGCAGCGGCAGTCAGGCTTTCCAGCAAGTGCCTTTCCTGGCTAAGCCATCTTGCTAGTACTATTGCTGGTTTTTAATATAAAATTTAAAAATACCAGTACATGGTCTATAAATAATCTCAATGGTATCAAGGTTAAAGCAAGTCAACACTAAGTTTTTGTTGTTGGATTTTGTTATTTTGCTATTTTAGTTTCCTGAGACAGGGTCTCACTATCCACCACATCCAGCTAACACTGAGCTCCCAGGCTCCCTCAGTTGGCACACAACAGTCTCAATGGGTCCATCATTTTCTCTGACTTCTTCCAGGTCTATTCAACCAGATGCCTGGTGGCCAGGCTCACCCCAGGACAGGGCATGGATGAAGCCCAACACAAAGTCATGTTACTTAAAACATTGAGTTTTTTTTTTTTTTTTTTTTTTTTTTTTTTTTTTGTCTTTTTGAGACAGGGTCTCCCTGTAGCCACAGCTGACCTGGAACACTCTATGTACCAGGCTGGCCTTGAACACAGAGGTCCACCTGCCTCTGCCTCCCTAGTGCTGGGATTAAAGGCATGTGCCACTATGCCTGGTAAGACTTTTTTTTTTTTCCAATTCTTTCCTGTAACTTGATTGTGGGGTCAAATGGCTGGACGCATCTAGGTTTTTTCTTTGAGACTTGGACCCCATTAGCCCCAGCTGGCCTGGGACTCACTATGTACACAAGGCTGGCCTGGATCTTACAGAGAGCCACCTGCACCTGCCTCCTGAGTGCTAGGATTAAAGGCATGTGCCACAACACTGGGCCTTTATTTTTTACCTGCTAGGCTTTGAACCCCTGTGAGTGAACACTGCAAGAATCCAAGATGAATAGAACTCTGGCCATGCACACACACTCTATACTATTTCATCTTCTGACCCATCCCATTAATCTACTGAGGTGAAGACATCGGAATTACAAAGGATGACACTGATGACTGAACTGAGGGGAACACTGGGTGGGCCTTAGAAGCACAGTCCCCCTCTGATCAGCCCCTGCTCTTCCTCCCCCTTGGCAGACTATGGAACTAGGATTTATCTCCAAGGCTGTCACAGAACCTGGGGCTACTACTCCAACCCAGAAGGAGACAGCTGGCCAAAGTGCTTTCTGTGCAAGCATGAGGACCTGAGTTCAATCCCTAGTGCCCACATAGCACATGCTCATAATCCCAGCACTAGGGAGGCAGAAACAGCAGATATCTAGGGCTCACTGGCCAGCCAGTTCAGCTAGTCTAATTGATGAGCTCCAGGCCAAAGAGATCCTGTCTCAAAGGAGTATGCCGCACCTGAAGTCCTCTGGCCTCCACATGCATATGGACACGCCACATACACACATGTGCACCCACATACATGCACACACATTTAAATATTTGTTGTTTTTGTTTTTTTGTTTTTCAGAGACAGGGTCTCCCTGTAGCTGACCTGGAAATCACTATATAGAATGTGCTAGCCTCAAACTACTTACTTCTACTTACTTCTGCCTCCCTGGCACTAATCCCTAGGGCTGTTGGGACTTAAAGGTGTATGCTACCATCCCTAGTTTAAACATTTTTTTTTTAAGATTTGTATTTTTAATTATGTGTGCATATGTCTATGTGTGGGTATAAACATGTGAGTACAGTGCCCACACAGGCCAGAAGGAAACATTGGATTCCCTAGAGCTGGAGTTACACGTGGTTGTGGACCAAACTTGGGTCCTTTGCAAGAGCAGTTAGTGTTCCTAACTGCTGAGCCATCTCTCTAGTGGAGCACCCAATACACACCCATTTAAAAAAAAAAAAAAGGAATCCCTTTCATCGCCCTTGCCTGATCACAGGTGATAAGGCCCTCAATCCAGGTGTCCTGCCCTATCCCCAGGAGTAAGAAACCCATACAGCGGCCAGGAAGACTGAGCAGACAGGCCTATCTGTCACCCTCAAAGAAATACACTGTCACCAGGTTTTAGGTTTTCATATTTGAAAGCTGTTAGGCTTTTCTGCAGTTAACTTGTCTTTTGTTGAAGGGATGCTGGATGTAACCCTTACTTGGGAAGGGGAGACAGGGATCACACTTTTCCGTCCCTACAAACTTAATTCAATAATACACAATTCTCCAAGAACCTGTGGCCAAGTGACAATTTCACTAGCTCTAAAGATGCCATTACTATGTCTATTCAGTGTCCCCACAGGTTCAAATAAAATGAAATTATGAAGACCCAGAAAAGCAGCACTTGACCTCAAACAGCAATTCAAACACCAGTCAAGTTCAGAGTCAGCCATGGGTGGCCAATGGGCTGCAGAGACATGAAAAACACGTGTGGGCTAAAGAAATACAGAACGAAGGGAGTCTATTTACCTGTGGAGATAGACCACCTGGCTCCCTGTGCAGTTTTCATGGCAGTGGAGAGCCAAAACAAACAGAAGCATGGTGGCTGGTGCCAAAGCTCCAGGGCTTCTTCCTCTTATGGGTTCCTTTTCTTCTAACCTACCAGTGACTTTAGGGAGATCCAGAGGAGAATCTGAAGTCCTGGGGGCGTCCTGCCCATTCTTAGAGTGGCATTAAGGTAATGCCCAGATCAACAGGGATGGCTAAATTAGATTAGGGCAAGAAAGCAGGAACTGTTTATGTCTTCGAAAATTAGCTTAAGTTGGAAAGGCTTGACAGCTCCTTCCTTTTGTGGGTTCCCTTTCTACTGTCCTTGACCCTAGGCTTGTCTGCACCTCCACTGTAGCTTGGCTGAGACCCTTCTACTTATATGGAAGGTGCTCAGACCTCAGCTTTTCCCAGTTGACTGGGACCTGACTAGGAATGCCTCCCAACTCTCCATTTCTCTCTGTACTTCCCTACTTACCAAGTGACATAGTGAGCTTGTCTTTTGTTTTATGGAGTTTTTTTGGTGGGGAGTGAAAATCATCTCACTCTGTAGCCCCAGCTGGCCTAGAACTCAAGGCTGGGCTCAAACTCAAGGCAATCCCCCTGCCTCAGCATCTTGAGTGCTGAAATCCTAGCTTGAGTTCTGACCTTTTCAACCTCATCCCTGCTTTCTACCCACAGTGTAAGCCACTCGGGACCAGGAGCCATTTATTTGGCACCTTACAGGACAAGTGTAGTGTTTTTTTCTCCATAACTAGCCCATAAAATCAACTTAAGGAAAAAGGAAATGTATTTGCCAAAGACAAGGAATTACTTTAGTCTAAGAAATTGATGCTAGTAGATCTTTGAGCAATCACTGGGTCACTTAATCCACAAAAACATCAAGGATACTTTTTCTAACACAAATGAAAGCTTTCATTATTAATGGCTTTAGAGTAGCAGGAAAAGAGGAAAGATGGGCCTCTCTCACAGCAGCTCTATGATAAATGTTTCTTAGCTACTCAGGACTTAGATGCCGAGTAAGGACTGGCTGAGAGCAGAGCCAGGTGCAGTTTGGGTGTTATTCCAGACTCGGTAGAGCAAGTGACACACCCTCTAGATCCTGATCCAACTGATAGAGGCAAACTCTGAAGGAATTCCCCATCACCCTGCTCTTTTCTCCCCAGCCATCTTTGTCAATTCTATTTTAGAAGACCCAGTCAGAGAAGGCTGGGGTGGAGGGCAGAGGAGGCAGGCAAGTACCTACTGGAGCACAGAGTGTTCCTTCAAAGGATCCCAATCTGGGGTCCAGGAGCCCCTGAACCAGGTCTAACTCACCATGCAGAGGGGAAGACATATTGCTTTTGGAAAGGGTGGGGGATCTATAGGTGTGGTGGCACATGCAGGTAATCCTAGGACTGTGGAAGAAGAGAGAGAATTAGGAGTTCAAAGCCAGCCTCAACCACGTATCAAGTTGAACTGGATTATGAGATCCTGTCTCAAAACAACAAAAACAAAACAACAAAAAAACAACAACTGCCCCCAGAGTGGTCAACACCTTTCTGTCCCAGTCTTTAATCCTAGCCTTTAATCCCAGCACTCCAGAAGCTGAAGCAGATGCAGGAGGACCTCTGGGAGTTCAAGGCCAGCCTGGTCTACTTGGTAAGTTCCAGGGCAGCCAGGGCTACATTGTGAGAACCTGTCTCAGGAAAAAAACAAAATTACAGCAGATGGGAACTTAGAAGGTCCCGTGACTTCCACAAACTGTATTTCCCAACGACTAGAGCTCAGTCCAAATAGCCAATGACATCAGCTCCACTATCCGGAAGCACAAAACCGACAATACCAGGATCCCTGAAACTCAGCCTTTTCAGAACACACCAATGCCCCCCTCACCCTCTCCTCTTGACCCTGAACAGGAGCTGCGGGCAGAACACCGACTGACCAAGAGCATCACGTAGATGCATACGGACCTGGAAACCAAAGGGACGAAAGAAGGGTCCCGGCTGGGCAGGAAGGGGCGCCTTTGCCACGGGTCCCTGCTAGGGTTCAGAGCTCCACGACCATTCAGGGTCCCCTGGGCTACCAGGCGTCCCCTCGCCCCGCCGGAGGGCCCGGCGCTTGTACTAAAGTCCACTCCTCCCTGACTTTGACCCGGGTTATCCAATGTCCTGGATCCTGCGTGGAACCCACGAGGACAGAAGCAAAGTCTCGGACGCCAGAATTCCGAGCACAGGCCAAAGAACATCTGGAAAGTTGTCCGGCTTTTTGTTGGCTGGTTTCTGAATCCCCAAGGTTTCATTCTCAAAACTCTCAACTCGGAGACTCGCAGCCACTAGAGCGCATCGCGCCTTTTCCTAAAAGCCCAGGGGCATCCTCTGGAGCGAGCGTGCTCCGGCGGCGCCCCGCGACCCCAGCACGCGCTGAGCCCGAGCTCCGCCCGGACCAAAGCGCCAGGCGGACCCCGCGCCCTCCATCCCGCCCGGATCCCGCCACCCTCCTGTCCCCCGCGGAGAGCGCGGCGCCCCGGGGCTCCAGGCAGGTGCCAAAACCACGGGCCCTCGCTCCCGGCTGCCGCCCCGGCACCCCCAGCTCCCCACGCGGCCGCCACCAGCGCCTCACTCACCGCCGCCAGACGAGCCGGGAGGTCTGAGCTGGCAGTGAGCGCGGGTCCAGGAAAAGCGGGAGAGGCGGGGCCCGGAGGGGCGGAGCCTAGGGGACGAAGCGCTCTGGGCAGAGGAGCGCGGGGAGCGGTGCGGGCAGGGGGCGGGGCGGTGTGTGGGCGGAGCCTGGTGGGGCGGGGTGCAACAGGGCGAGGCGGAGCGCTGGCCGGACGGAGGCGCGACTGGCGCTGGGATTGGGATGAGCGAGGGTGTGGTCAGGCGCAGTCCGTGGGAGGCGGGGCGAAAGGCCCGGAAGACCGGCCTAAAAAGGGCGGGGCGAGCAGGAGGCGAGGAGGTGGGCGGGGAGATTGGGGCGGGGCCTGCCAGGCTTATGGCTTTTCCCGCCGTAGTCGGGTCCTGACTCTCTGGCCACCCGCCTGCACTGGGACCCCCAACTGCCCCGGTGCAGCGTTCTCCCACCCAAACCTGGGTCTCAGTCCTTCCCTGCACCTTCCGTTCGTCCATTGTCTTTGGGACACCCACCCCCAGGCCGCATCCAAGCTCCTCTCGCTGAGACGCGTCCCCCACCGAAGCCGCAGAGCGCCTCACCCCTGCATCCTAATGTCTCCCCCTTGATTCTGCTGGAGCCCATCGCCCGGCTCCCCACCCCCTGCTCTCCCTCCACCTCCGTGATCGCCCGCATTCCTACCTCCTCCCCATCTTCAGACCTGGACCACCAACTTGGAGAGTCCTCCTGCACGCCCTGGCGCCCCTGGTCCTCTACAGGCACTCTTCTCTTCCCAAACTCAGAAGACTCAGACACCCAAGTTAAGACACTCTCGGTGCCTTTGAGGTCACGCGCCCTCTGAGCTCTGTCCCCTTCTATAATAATGCTTGTCAGGGTCTGAGTTAACTACCCCCATTGGAGTTTAGCGTGGAGTTAAATAAAGCGTATGGGCTTCTCTCTTTTTTTGTGATCCAAGACACCCGTTAAAACTCCAGGAATCAGACTCTCCTCTTCCAATATCTGCCTCTACATGGGTCCCACCTACCTGGTACTGCAACTCTGGAGCCACCAGTGTTCCCTGAGAAGTTCTCAGAGAACCCAAAATAGTATTCATCATGATTGTGAGGGCCAAGTACTGGAGATGGGCTACAACCCTGCCCTGGACATCCAGGAAGCAACACCATTTAGGCAGGCAGCATCTAAGTCCCAAAGTGGCTTCAGAGACCCAGGTCTTAGAACTCCTCTGCAGTGGAAATCCAGGCATCCGCCTGACTGAGGCCCATAAGGAGTTTGGCAGTCCAAGATCTCAAGGTCCCTCTGTCCCAGAGGAAAGTACCCACCACCTTTCACCAGGTCCACCATGACTAGGGATATGTCCTTTTTTTTAAATATTTTATTTATTATTTTTATGTGTATGAATCTATTGCCTGCATGTATGTAAGTGCATCTATGTCATGCAATGCCCACAGAGAACAGAAGCAGCTGTGGGATCCCCTGGAACTGGAGTTACAGTTGTTAGCTGCCATGTGGGTGCTGGGATTTGAACCCCCATTCCACAAGAAAAGCCAATGTTCTTAACTGCTGAGCCATCTCTCCAGACCTGACTGGGGACATAATCTTAAACCAAAGGAGGGGGAGGGGAACCTGAAAGTCCACCCAAGTGTGTGTCATTGTCAGATAGATGTTAATAGTGTATTAGTTACTTTTCTCCTTGCTGTGAAAAAGGCAACTTAAGAAAGGAAGAGGCTATTTTGGTTCACAGTTTGGGGTACAGTCCATCATGGCAGGGACATCACGAGGACAGGAGTGTGAATCAGCTGGTCATACTGCATTAATACTCAGGAAGCACAGAGGTGAGTGCTGGTGCTCAGCCCCTGCTCTCCTTTTTATTCCATTTGTTACCTACTCCAAGCCCACATTCAAGGTGGATCTTTCCTGCTCTGTTAGACTTCTCTGGGTAGACCCTCACCAAGCCCAGAGGTGTGTTTCTATGGTGATTCCAAATCCAGTCACGTTGATAAGGAAGACTAACCTTGACAAGGAATGGGTGACATTGTGTTCTTTCAGTTTGGTTTCTTTGAGTTGTTTTGGGTTAAACAACTAGCAAAGCCTTTTTTTCTCATCTTTTGCTGACGGCCACCACAGTTTCATTTACCTCTCCCCCCAACTCCTGAGCCTCACAGGAGTCGTCCTTGATTTTCATCTATCCTAAACAATTACCATAGCTGTGAACCCACTGTGATTTATGAGGAGAGTTGTAAAACTGTAACTGTTTTTAATCCCAGAAAAAACACAGCATTGCCAGGCATTAGTAGCCCGTGCCTTTACTCCCAGGACTCTGGAGGCAGAGGCAGGCAGACCTCTGTGAGTTCAAGGCCAGCTGGGGCTACAGGGAGACCCTGTCTCAAAAAAAAAAAAAAAAAAAACCCACCAACTTGGAATGGAATTTCCAACCCACAGTTTCCAAAACGGGAATCCAAGTATCTGAGTAAACAGGCCACAGAATCATTTCAATAGGGGACAAGGCAATTGACAAAATACTACATATTTCTATGATAAAAACATGCAATGAGGGTATAGAGAGATGGCTGTTAAGAGCACTAGCTGCTCTTGCAAAGGACCTGGATTCAGTTCCCAGCACCTACATCAGGTAGCTCACAACTGCTTTTAACTCCAACTCCAGGGGATCCAACACACTCTTCTGGCCTCCTCCAAGAGAACATGTGAACACACATGCCCGTACCTACACACTGACACACATACTCAAAACTAAAAATAAAATTTTAAATATCTTTTTTTTCTTTTATTTTTTTGTTTGTTTTGTTTCGGGGGGGGGTGTTTTGTTTTGTCATTTTGAGACAGGGTCTCCCCGCAGCCCAACTGGCCTGAAACTTACTATGTAGACCCAGGCTGGCCTTGAACTCACAGAAATCCGCCTGCCTCTGCTTCCCAAATGCTGGGATTAAATGCATGCACTACTGTGCTTTGCCCAATTTTGTTCTGTTTGAGACAAGGTCTCCCTGTAGCCCAAGCAGGCTTGAAACTCACTATATAGACCAGCCAGGCTGGCCTTGATCTCATACAGATCCTCCTGCCTCCACCACCTAAGTGCTGGGATTAAAGGCATGTGCCACCACACCTGGCTTCTGATATATATATATTCTTTTTTTTTTAATGTTTTACTTGTATGAGTGTATTACTTGCATTTATATAAGTGCACTCAGCACTCAGAAGGCAGAAGCAGGTGGGTCTCTGAGAGTTCAAGGCCAGCCTGGTCTACATAGCAAGTTCCAGGTCAGCTGGTACTACAGGGAGACCCTGTTTCAAAAAGACCAAAAAAATAAAAAATAAATAAAAATAAACACCTTTAAACCTGGCACTCAAGAGGCAGAGATGAGACAGAAGCAAGCAATCTTGTGAGATCTCTTCTCTAAATAGCAAGTTCCAGACCAACTGGGGCTACAGGGAGACCCTGTTTCAAAAACAAAAACAAAACAGGCTGGGAATGTAGCTCAGTGGTAGAGTGCTTACCAGCCATATGTGAGGCCCTAGGTTCAAGGGTCAAACTCGAGACTCCTGCCCCCACACTCCCCGTAAAACAGGCATAGAGACACCCTACAGAATGTGAGACAATGTTTGTAGATCCTGTATCTGATAAAGATCTAATGTTCAGATTACATAAATAACTGTACAGGAGGTAGAGGCAAGAAGATATACGGAAGTTCGAGGCCAGCCTGGTCTACATAGCAAGTTCCTAGAAAG